GTACGTACGTACGTACGTACGTACGTATGTACGTACGTTCGTATGTCAGCATTTTTTTCGTTTTCGATATCTCAAGAACGGATTGAGATATCGCCCTCAACCAAAATTTTTTCGAAAGATATTATCATAATGAAGATCTGAAAGAAATTTGAACGAAATCGGTCAAGCCGTTTTTTTTTTATAAAAAAAAAAACGAATTAATTACAAACAATTTAATTAAAATACGTTCTAATCTAATCACAACAATGAAGTTACGGAATCAATAATAACGAAATATCATTATTCAAGACAGGGAATAACATATTATAATAACATATTATAATAAAAATTTGTTTATAACAAAATGAATTGTTATAAACAATCGATAAACAATAAAAAATAGTATTTACCAATTGACTGATGCAAGTACTCTATCAATTCGGTTTTCTCAGACGAAATACTGTTTCTTATGGGTTTATAAAATGACGAACTCTCAAACATTGTTTGTTATTTATTATTGTGCCGCGTTTTTTTCAAACTTTAGAAACGAATGTACTTTACAATAACTGTATTATCTAATGGGAAGTTAGTCGTATTAGCACCGACCAAAATGTGCTCAGACCAATTTTTTGACATTTTTAATTAATTAACAAGTATACAGGTACCTATAAGTTATTCAACAAATTCATTATTATTCAAAATAGACTAATTATTTTCCAATAAACTGTTATTACCGATCTATGGGTAAATGATATAATAATTAGAATTGTAATATGCATTTACGTAAAAGACCACTTTTATCAAGGAATTTGTTTTTACTTCGAAATTACACACGCATTTTTATGTAAGTTTTACTGATAAAATTACCATAAAACTAAGTATGTTATTTTCAATTTTAACACTACATGTGACGCACAATCATTTATTGAAATTACTACGGTAATTCTCGTTCGGACAATGTGAAGTACCATTTAAATTTTTATTCCTTCCAAAGATTGGTGTGTAATCAAATTACCTTGTAACATAACAACAAAAAATGGCAATATGGAAAATTGCGTCTGTATGTGGAGATACTGGCATCATTTTTTGTAACTTTTAATTTAGTCGTCTATGTAATCTTCTACGACAACTGAAAGTCGGGTCAATATTGTTGAGCTTTTTCTATATGGTTATTCGGAAAGTCATTTCGTTTTTTTTTTGTGAAAATGAAAGACAGTTTTCGTATAATAAACAAATACTTTATTATATATTGACCGTTCTGGTCCAACACCTTTTGCCATCTTTCTGGTAGCAGCATAATTCCACGCTCATAAAATCTTTGGTCTTTGCTGGCAAAAAACTGATCGAGGAGGTTTTTGACCTCCTCATTTGAGGTGAAGGTTTTACCGTCTAAAAAATTTTGGAGTCACCGGAACAAATAATAATCCGATGGTGCCAGGTCTGGAGAATATGGTGGGTGTATCATTGTATCCCATTCAAGCTGTAAAAGCTTTTGGCGAGTGACCAAACTTGTGTGAGGTCTGGCGTTGTCTTGGTGAAACACTACACCTTTCCAGTTGATTAGTTCTGACCTTTTCTGTTGAAGTGCATCATTCAGTTTGTCCAGCTGATGACAGTAGACTTCCGAATTAATCGTTGTGTTATCCGGTAAAAGCTCAAAAAAAAACGATTCCTTTAAAATCCCACCAAACAGATAGCATCACCTTTTTTTGGTGAATATCGGCTTTGGAAATGGTTTGAGCCGGTTCATCTTTTTTGCTCCATGACCTCTTGCGTTTGACGTTGTTGTATACAACCCATTTTTCGTCCCCAGTGATGATGCGCTTCAAAAACGGATCATTTTCGTGACGTTTGAGAAGCGAATCGCAGACGTCAATGCGGCGACACAGATTTCTCTCTGTGAGAACATGGGGAACCCATACATCGAGCTTCGAGGATAATCCCAGGCCTTTCAAGTGGTCATAAACTGTTGAATTTGATAAATTTAACCTCAATCCGATCTCACGTGTTGTTATTCGCCGGTTCACATCAACTAATGCCTTTATCGCGTCTTTATCAGCTTCAACCGGCTTTCCCGAACGTGGTGCATCTTCGACATCAAAATTGCCGGATCGAAATTTAGCGAACCAGTTCTGGCACTGGCGTACTGTCAACACACCTTCTCCATACACATCAGTCAATTTCTTTCTGGCTTGAACAGCATTTTTACCCTTTCTGTAGTAAAACAGTAAGATATGTCGAAAATGCTGCTTATCGCTCTCCATATTTAAAAGGGCACCAACCAAAAACTACTACGTAGAATTAATTGGAATTTTTCACACACAAGCCTTGCTATATGAGCTCTCAAAGCATATAAAAATTATACGGCTTAAATGTGAAGTTGGGTGCAAAAGAATACAATTAAATCCTCTGTCGGGAAAAAACGAAATGACTTTCCGAACAACCCAATAAAATGTGGGTGTAAAAAACAAATTCCTGACTGTTTTGTTATTACAATGTTTCGCAATTATCAAATCGCACATTCAATTGATTTTTTTCTAAAATTTTATATAAATGTAAATTACTGATCTCTGACCTATCCTTTTAACTTTACCGACTGATAAAACAAATACTGCCGAAATATATGTATTTCTTAAAAATATGATATTTATCGTTAGAATCCTTAAGGCATGCATTAATTAAGATTTGTTTTCCTTTGTTTTTGAATAAGTAGTACATATGCATGAAGGATTAAATTTAAATTTTAATTTTTGTTTTATCATAATAATTGATAGCAAGGAAAAAGAAATAAATAATGAAGACGAGTATATGTATTGCATGACAAATGAATATTAACAGTACCTTCGTCATCCACATATTATATTATGTAATTGAATAATAATGGTAATTATAATAAATGAATGCGTAAAACTAAATCGTTAACATTAACGACAATTAATTTTTTATAGAGTCAGGGTTACTCTTTATAATTTTATGAACGAATAATATTAGTTGTGATAATCTACACATTTATCGGCATATTGCCTTGCGACTGCCTTAAACTTTGAAAAAAGAGCCAAGTTGTGGCAATAAAACTGCGACTTTTTCGTAGAACGAAATATGATAAATTCTTGCTTGTTTTTGTGTCATTAAAAAATATTATCCATAATTTTTTTGCCATAATTTAAGAACATTGAAAGTCTTTATGGTCATAGACAAACTGGTTCTTCTGCTGTTTATCTACTAAAATATTCGCGAATCTCCCGGCAATGCCTTTAACATCATTTAATGTCAATATCAATCAATTTTATGGCTGATTAAAACTAAAGTGGCCGGCAAATATGGAAATATGCAGCAGATTTTGATTTTATAAAGATAGTGTACTAATTTTTAACTAGTTTAAGATTATAGGTACCATCAGACTTGCAAATATATATATTTTACTTTTGCACAGTGTAATAAAAAATTAACATTCACCATTCAGTAGTTTCCGTTGTTTATGAAAAAAGTAATGGTTCATGGAAATATTTCCATTACTCGTTACAAAAGCAATGGATAATGTAAATTATTTACATTATTTTCGCAACCTTTCTAGGTACTATAGGTTTACATATAGCAAAACAATCGAATTTCTATTCTGAAAATGGTTTAGAATACTATTAGCAAATAGAAACACATTCCTTTTAAATATGTCTTTATGGAAATTTTGATAGGTATATGACTGGACCATATTTCTTTTTGGGAAGTTTTTGTCATTTTCGTGGTTTTTGTAAATGCAATAAATGAAATAACATTGCTACTAGTTCATAATAATGATTTATTATTGTAACGTCAAGCAACTCTGTTAATTAAAAAAAATCGCTGACCGATTGTTATTATTAATGGCCAAAGTATTCAGCATTCGGTGATTAATGATCATTGTTTTTTTTTAATAAGTGTAACGTTCAAGAACTTTAAGAAGGAATAGAACGACTGTAACAAAAAAAATTTTTAGCATCACCATTTCTGAGATGTTTTTAATTGTTTATGCAAATTTTTAGCGAAATATGTATTTACATTTGCATAAAAGTCTGCAACAGTTAAATTCGTGGGGATTGTATGACGCTAATGTAATAATTTAACGCAGTCCGACACATTAAAGAGTAAACACAGAAATTGTAAAAAATCGTCACTAACCGACCACTAACTTTTTCGTTTTCTTAGTACTAGACAACTTGGTAAATATGATTTATGAAATTATTTTATGTAAATGTCTAACGTACAACTAAATGGGTTATTTGAACAACTGTTTCCCGAAAATTTGTTATTCTGTTTACACATTTTCTACATGTTTACGCTCTTCCAACGCTTTGTGCATGCAAAAAACAATTTAAGTGTGAAAATTATGCCATTTTTAAAACAACTTAAAAGCAGTCAAGTGCAATTATGACCTCGTCAACTAAACAATCAATTATAAAATTTTCAAGAAGAAACATATATTCTTCGCATGCATGGAACACTCTTCCCCCCGATTTGTGCTAGGTATTTTATGGATTGCCCCTTTTATACTAACAAACTCCCACGGAAATGCAAGTTGTTAGTTCTGATATAATGTATATATGTAACGTATAGCAGAGCCGGGCAAACTGGGATCTTTTGCATCCTGAGTGATCCTCAAGGTTAACCAAGTAGCTCCTCATTGATCCTGCGAGTGCGAGTGAGATGATTCTTTCCTTTTCTTATCCCTTCCATTTCGTAGATGAGTCCCCTCTTCCATAGCCAAACCCAATAGTTTTGCGAACGTAGTAACGACAATTTTCGTAGGTATTATTTAAGTTGGGAGAGTGGCTTCGCTCGTCTACGGGATGAAGGGGCTTGATATGGGAGTGGAAGGGAGAAGAAAAAGACAAAACAAAATTATTCATTACTGCTTACTCTCTCGTACTCATTGAAGGGTATGGAGTGACTCAAACTAACCTCATGTAGCGGCTCCTGCGAAGTTAAAGTTTGCCCGGCTCTGATGTATAGTACTAATTGTTTATGTTTATATTAACAGAGAACATGAGTTGTGGATCACATCATTTAAGCCGCCATCACGACAAAACCTAAGCATCCTGTCGTTCAGATTTTCGTTATCAATAGTACATTTATTAATGCAATTTCATACAGGATAGGGAGCGGTTCATCGTTAAACCAACAGACCTTACATGGTACTGCTTTGATAAAAATGCATTCGTTTATGATGAAGAGCGTTCTTTGTTTTGGTTAGTTTAACCACACGGAATCTTGAAGGTTCCGCTTTATAAATATTCAAACATAAAAATGTGTAAACCTCAAACAAGTCAATAATACTATAACTGAATGAGGAAATATGTATTGTAGATACTTATCGAAGGGTTTCTAAAGTGTGAAATATTGATTGTATTGAAAACTTACCAACAGTGGTATATTGGGGCACACGATCATTTCAGTTTTGGGATCGGCGACCGAAAGTTCAGGAATAAATTCTAAATAACGAACGGGAATAAATGTCAGTGTTCCGTTATCGTTGAATTTCGGTTGTGTGTTGTGGATGCTTTCCCTAAAATTAAAAAAAACGTCGTAATTTAAGACTGAAATTAATGTTTTATTCATTAAATGTTTTAATATCCGATCAAACAACAGTAGAATGGAAGCAGAAAGGAGTCTCTAAAAATTCTCGTTATGTTTATGTATCAATTTGCATAATTATCGAATTATATGTTAATATTATTTCTTTATAACGTTTTCCATCTGTTACCATTGACCGCAAAATCCGCAACAGTGCCAAAATTTGTGAGCAAAAAAAAACCAGAGAAACCACTGTTTCATTTTGAGATTTAGTGAATAACTGTCATAAGTAGCAAATTATATTTCTCGTAAGTGGTTTACCTGGACATACCAAAGTAAAAAAAAGAGTAACCTACTTGTATACATAAGGCCCCTTTTCTTCCAATCGCAGTTTTTCTTTTCCACTCAAAAACGCCTCTGCATTTGTGACATGGTAGATGTAAGCTTTCGCAAAAATGTCATACGGGGGGTTACTCCATAAAGAGAATGCCAACGATCCGGGTGATAGAGAAGTAACCTGAAGCAATTAAAGGGAGACGTATGTAGATTAATGGATTAGTATATATTTACACTTGATGGAAATTCAGAAGTAGTGTTTGCACAGGTCGTAGGTTGCGGCATCTATCGGGTTGTTCGGAAAGTCATTTCGTTTTTTTTTGTGGAAATGAAAGACAGTTTTCGTATAATAAACAAATACTTTATTAAATTATATATTGACCGTTCTGGTCCAACACCTTTTGCCATCTTTCTGGTAGTAGCATAATTCCACGCTCATAAAATTTTTGCTCTTTGCTAGCAAAAAACTGATCGAGGAGGTTTTTGACTTATTCATTTGAGGTGAAGGTTTTACCGTCTAAAAAATTTTGAAGTGACCGGAACAAATAATAATCCGATGGTGCCAGGTCTGGAGAATATGGTGGGTGTAGCATTGTATCCCATTCAAGCTGTAAAAGCTTTTGGCGAGTGACCAAACTTGTGTGAGGTCTCGCGTTGTCTTGGTGAAACACTACACCTTTCCTGTTGATTAGTTCTGACCTTTTCTGTTGATTGCATCATTCAGTTTGTCCAGCTGATGACAGTAGACTTCCGAATTAATCGTTGTGTTATCCGGTAAAAGCTCAAAAAAAACGATTCCTTTAAAATCCCACCAAACAAACTGTATCACCTTTTTTTGGTGAATATCGGCTTTGGAAATGGTTTGAGCCGGTTCATCTTTTTTGCTCCATGACCTCTTGCGTTTGACGTTGTTGATTTTTCTCTGAGAACATGGGGAACCCATACATCGAGCTTCGAGGATAATCCCAGGCCTTTCAAGTGGTCATAAACTATTGAATTTGATAAATTTAACCTCATTCCGATCTCACGTGTTGTTATTCGCCGGTTCACATCAACTAATGCCTTTATCGCGTCTTTATCAGCTTCAACCGGCCTTCCCAAACGTGGTGCATATCCGACATCAAAATTGCCGGATCGAAATTTAGCGAACCAGTTCTGGCACTGGCGTACTGTCAACACATCTTCTCCTTATACATCAGTCAATTTCTTTCTGACTTGAACAGCATTTTTACCCTTTCTGTAGTAAAACAGTAAGATATGTCGAAAATGCTGCTTATCGCTCTCCATATTTAAAAGAGCATCAACCAAAAACTACTGCGTAGTATTAATTGGAATTTTTCACACACAAGCCTTGCTATATGAGCTCTCAAAGCATATAAAAATTATACGGCTTAAATGTGAAGTTGGGTGCAAAAGAATACAATTAAATCCTCTGTCGGGAAAAAAAGAAATGACTTTCCGAACAACCCGATAAAACGCTCATCATAAGGATTTTTGTGAAATTTTTGCGCTAAAAAGTTCAAATTTTTCATGTATATGTGTCTGCGTATGTCGAGAAAGGTAAAAAATATCGAAAAAGTTCATCGTGGTTCTTTCCTCATGACCAAAAGTAGATACCGAAGTGTATAATCATTTCTTGGGGGACCAATGCAATGATTTTTTTACATGATATCGTGTATGATGGGAAATCTTGATAAAATCAAATGATGCGAAGGATTATGTGGCATTACCTTGTTTATCAGAACTTTAAGCGGGTCCAAAAAATATATAAAGCACGATGCCATTCCTAACGCCATTCCCAACGACGTAATGAACAGATATCCTGAAAAAGAAAATGCTTTACATCTGTATAGATAGATATACCGAGTGCCTTAAGTGTTTCCAATAAAATTGTGATATTATCATACAAGTAGTTACTGAAAGCATATACCTCATATAATTTATCTATGTGTGCTTTAACTTTGGGAATGCTTAAAATATATCAAATATATTAAAAAAAGAAATGCATGGTGGTAAATATAAAAAAGATACATTAAGAATTCGTTTCGGATAGAAGAAAAGTTATTGCATAAGACGGAACAAGAAATTAAAATCAGTTTGTCATGAGAGTGCGACTTTTTGATCGTCAGCTTCACCTTGGCCAAGATATTTAATGTACGTCGGTCAAGTTGGTTGTCACTTTGGACAGCGAAGAAATGTGCGAGGATGCCGACTACTAGAAAGGAAAGGTTACTGAATTCATGCCAAAGAATCAGCAATGTTTATGTAAAAGGCTGCACAATAACTGCTTGCATACACCGGTGTAAATTTTTAACTATTTATAGTATTTTGCTCTAATATAATCATAATACCCGTTGTTTTAAATATTTTTATTATTATAACTATACGTCATCATCATAGGGTCTTCAGTCGTGACACGGGGTTCACACGCGCCTCCACTCTTTCCTATTCTGAGATAATTTTCACATTTTCCTAGAACTACGGCATCCCTCATCCTTAACTATTTGTGAACAGTAATCTAATTTAAGTCTAAATCTGTTACTCCTCTTTCTACTTCTAATATGTCTCTGACTAGCCCTTCATGCCTGAAAAGGTGTCTTACCAATCTAAAAAATTATTATTATTCTCAAGCAAGTGCCTACAAGTTAATAGATATAGAAATATATGACATAATAAAAAATGTTTTATCCAAGGAAGATGGTGATGTATGTAAGGACAAATTAATTATCTGGGAAATAGGTAATTTACCATAATTAAAAGTATTATGGACAAGCAAACATCTCCGATTGTAATAAGAAATGTTTATTACAAAACTTTTAGGAAGAATGCTTAACAAATAAAAACACAAACTATTAGAGAATTTCGCAATAATTCTTGCAATCGATGAAGGTAAGAACAGAAAGATTGCTTGTAATAAATGTAAACAAGGAAGTAAATCAATCTATTTGTGATCTTATCGAGAGTCGTTCCGGAATAATTTTTTAATTTTAAAAGTACCTATTCAATGTTATACCCAATGATTTGCGATTTATTTTTAAAAATATGGAAAATAATGTGAATGTTGGACGCTTACGTACTTCATAATCAACCTTACATTTATGGTACTTAAAACGTTAAATTGTTGGTTTGAATGAAAAAATTATAGATAAATCTTAGTTGAAATGGCAACAAATATGATTATCTAAATAAGGGGATTTTTAGAAAAATGTTCACTTAATGACTGGTTATCATTTTATATCTGTATACATATGTATGTATTTCATTACGATTGACAATAAATAATATTAATAACAACAGACAGATACCTATTCGAGAGACATGATGCAAGTATGCGTTTTTTCAGTTGAGTAGTTTTTCTTGCTGTGTTAATATTATAGATATCGTGATATTTGTTTAATAACACCAATGGTAAGATAATAATCTTCTGTTCCACCACTCATTGTACAGTGTACAGTACCTAACATTATTGCGGATTGCCTGACATAATTATTATATTCTATTTTCCGTAGCAAACACTATAACAACCGAAATTCCACAAAAAGCTGAATCTTTCGTTAATTGTTCATTCAATGTTAGCTATGACATGTTCACTGTGTTTGATCGATTAATTTAAAAATTCGAAATTAAAAGTGAAATGTGGACGATGCGCGCTTTAGAAAAGGAACGGTATAGATTTGATGTTGTACAAAGACGTTAAAAATATCATTGATAAGAAATATTGGTAATTTTTTACATTAGTTGACATTCGAATTGAGACATGAAGTTTAGTGAGGTAGGTAGTACTCACCAAGTAAAGTAGTGTAGTAGTGTTTACTAGAATTTTGTTTATTATTTGTTTAAAAATCAATGTGAGTGAGATACAGGCCCTTAAAGTTTTCTTAATCGGAGGAAATTCCGGTAGGTACGGCCCTGGCTTCAGCCTTCCGTCAGCTGTTCCCGCCAAACATCGTTTGTCCTAAAACATATCTTCCTAACATTATTCTAATGTATCAGCCCGCCTTCGGCGGGCAGGGGCATTAAACAAACTCGAGTCTGTCATACATCTACCTAACTAAACAATGACGTCATCAATGCATATTTGGCGAGAACAGCTGACGAAGGGCTGCAGCCAGGGCCGTACCAATCGAAATTTCCTCCGATTAAATAACTTTAGGAGCCTGTATCTCAAGCTACATTGGTTTCCGCACGGAATTAATGCTACCACACGATTCTACTTGGTGAGTACTACCTACCTGACTAAACTTCATGTCTCAATTCCAATGTCAACTAATGTAAAAAATGACCAAAATATTAGACTATTAGACCTTCTTATGTCGGACAAGAAGAGCTAGTTAGTGGTAGAACTAGATTATATTTCTGTTCAGAAATAGAGGTGAAGCAGTGAATTAGTCAATTCAACAAAATCGGCAAATAAATGTCTAATTTAAAATTGAAAAATTGAAATTATTATAATGTGGAATTGGGAGAGAGAATCATAATTTTCTTGTTAAAAACTTCATCTATTTAAAGGTCTGTTGTTTTTCACATCATTTTTACGTAGCGGGGTTTTCCCAAACGTGACAAAATCGATTGATTTATACTAATTTATTGTTAGTTTACACCCGCTAATTATTTTCAACCAACCGAACCGGTTGATAACATTGACAGCAGCCATGAAATTATTTATTTTGCAGGAGTAAAATGAGTTTCATATACGTATATATTTGCGGCAATAAAGGACAAGAGAGATTGTGGAAAATACCTTTTTATTAATGACCCAGTTTTTAAACGGCTCAGCCGAATTAATTTTATTAAAATCACGTGAATATAATCTTCCACTTGGTCAACCAATGACTCCTGTTTTACGCGATTTGGTAATAATTTGTTATTTAAAATACTGTTTTCGTAGTCATTTGCCTTGATGTTCACTTCATAAATATACCGGGCGATGCAAACGATAATTTAGCTTAAATTTCATGTTCCTGAATTTGCTCTTCATTTCTAATTTCTATAAATTCCGGTTCTAGCCTCTTGAAAGAAAATTATTTACTACCAGCACAGTAGCAAAAACATCATTCGATTTCGTATAAGGAGAAGAGTTTGCGTAGTTTTTCATTTATTTATGATTTTGATAAATAATTTTTTCATCCACGACACTATAAGTTTTATTGCTTATTTTGTACTTATTACAGGTGTGGCGCGTTATAACTCTCAATCTGCCTCAACATTTAAATTTGTCAGTTTATCAGGGCTAAATTACGCAAAACGCTATTTCAAGGGAAATATTTCATGTAATAATTTTAAAATAATTGTGTAAAATGATCACCGCTTATGATATTGACAAGTGATATGTTTTCTTTACATTATAATCAAATATCCTAGTGCGGCTACCCAATACAAAAACAAAATTGATTTATACTTGTTTTAGAAAAATAATTTCCTATAAAAGGTTAAATACATATTTTTTTTCTGTGTTTGGAAGCCGTTGAGTTTAATAATATGATATTGAACTTTGGCTTTTATAACTCATTTTAAATTGTCAATGATGGGTTGATGTCAAATTATCGAACCTTTGGCGTATCGTCCTTCTCTAAGTTCAAGTTTAACTACAACAGTATTATATGTATGTATTCATACGTAAGTTGCCTCATCAACCTTGTCCAATTGCCGAAGGTTTTTGCGCTAAACAACGTTGCACTAATAAAAGCGCAAGCTTTTCATACCAACCTATTAACGGTAAAAATTAAAACCGATTTAAAACGTTTGATACGTAAGTAACTTTAATGAATGTACGTTTCAAATTGTTATGTGTACCGACTAAAATGTCTTTGTTTATTTAAAATTAATAACTATTGGACAGTTTAAGTGAAAGATAAATGAGCTTTAGTTTATGCATACTGTTAATGACCACATTTACTACTATTTTTTGTATGATGAGGTTTTAAAATCCCTTCTAGTTAGGTATTCACGATTACACTTAATGGTTACGTACTAGTAAGTAATGTCTTGTTTGTTTACAATTTTGAAGACTAAAGTAGCCATAAAATAAACAAATAAGTACGCAGGGAATATACGCAATTTCTAGAACCAAACAATTTCCTAGCAATACGTACATAAGCAATTGACAGAAAAGTGTGAACAATTTACCTGTCATTTCTATAATAAAACCCATACATCATCCATCATTTAAATTGGCAAAAAAACAGTTGTGTGCACTGTTTTAAATACAGTTATTTAAAATTTCCCATTTTAGCAGACCTATCTAATCAATCAATAAATAAATAAATTTATTTAGAAAGGGATTTAAGTCTGTNCATCAATGCATATTTGGCGAGAACAGCTGACGAAGGGCTGCAGCCAGGGCCGTACCAATCGAAATTTCCTGCGATTAAATAACTTTAGGAGCCTGTATCTCAAGCTACATTGGTTTCCGCACGGAATTAATGCTACCACACGATTCTACTTGGTGAGTACTACCTACCTGACTAAACTTCATGTCTCAATTCCAATGTCAACTAATGTAAAAAATGACCAAAATATTAGACTATTAGACCTTCTTATGTCGGACAAGAAGAGCTAGTTAGTGGTAGAACTAGATTATATTTCTGTTCAGAAATAGAGGTGAAGCAGTGAATTAGTCAATTCAACAAAATCGGCAAATAAATGTCTAATTTAAAATTGAAAAATTGAAATTATTATAATGTGGAATTGGGAGAGAGAATCATAATTTTCTTGTTAAAAACTTCATCTATTTAAAGGTCTGTTGTTTTTCACATCATTTTTACGTAGCGGGGTTTTCCCAAACGTGACAAAATCGATTGATTTATACTAATTTATTGTTAGTTTACACCCGCTAATTATTTTCAACCAACCGAACCGGTTGATAACATTGACAGCAGCCATGAAATTATTTATTTTGCAGGAGTAAAATGAGTTTCATATACGTATATATTTGCGGCAATAAAGGACAAGAGAGATTGTGGAAAATACCTTTTTATTAATGACCCAGTTTTTAAACGGCTCAGCCGAATTAATTTTATTAAAATCACGTGAATATAATCTTCCACTTGGTCAACCAATGACTCCTGTTTTACGCGATTTGGTAATAATTTGTTATTTAAAATACTGTTTTCGTAGTCATTTGCCTTGATGTTCACTTCATAAATATACCGGGCGATGCAAACGATAATTTAGCTTAAATTTCATGTTCCTGAATTTGCTCTTCATTTCTAATTTCTATAAATTCCGGTTCTAGCCTCTTGAAAGAAAATTATTTACTACCAGCACAGTAGCAAAAACATCATTCGATTTCGTATAAGGAGAAGAGTTTGCGTAGTTTTTCATTTATTTATGATTTTGATAAATAATTTTTTCATCCACGACACTATAAGTTTTATTGCTTATTTTGTACTTATTACAGGTGTGGCGCGTTATAACTCTCAATCTGCCTCAACATTTAAATTTGTCAGTTTATCAGGGCTAAATTACGCAAAACGCTATTTCAAGGGAAATATTTCATGTAATAATTTTAAAATAATTGTGTAAAATGATCACCGCTTATGATATTGACAAGTGATATGTTTTCTTTACATTATAATCAAATATCCTAGTGCGGCTACCCAATACAAAAACAAAATTGATTTATACTTGTTTTAGAAAAATAATTTCCTATAAAAGGTTAAATACATATTTTTTTTCTGTGTTTGGAAGCCGTTGAGTTTAATAATATGATATTGAACTTTGGCTTTTATAACTCATTTTAAATTGTCAATGATGGGTTGATGTCAAATTATCGAACCTTTGGCGTATCGTCCTTCTCTAAGTTCAAGTTTAACTACAACAGTATTATATGTATGTATTCATACGTAAGTTGCCTCATCAACCTTGTCCAATTGCCGAAGGTTTTTGCGCTAAACAACGTTGCACTAATAAAAGCGCAAGCTTTTCATACCAACCTATTAACGGTAAAAATTAAAACCGATTTAAAACGTTTGATACGTAAGTAACTTTAATGAATGTACGTTTCAAATTGTTATGTGTACCGACTAAAATGTCTTTGTTTATTTAAAATTAATAACTATTGGACAGTTTAAGTGAAAGATAAATGAGCTTTAGTTTATGCATACTGTTAATGACCACATTTACTACTATTTTTTGTATGATGAGGTTTTAAAATCCCTTCTAGTTAGGTATTCACGATTACACTTAATGGTTACGTACTAGTAAGTAATGTCTTGTTTGTTTACAATTTTGAAGACTAAAGTAGCCATAAAATAAACAAATAAGTACGCAGGGAATATACGCAATTTCTAGAACCAAACAATTTCCTAGCAATACGTACATAAGCAATTGACAGAAAAGTGTGAACAATTTACCTGTCATTTCTATAATAAAACCCATANATTTTTAAGTATATTTAACATCATCCATCATTTAAATTGGCAAAAAAACAGTTGTGTGCACTGTTTTAAATACAGTTATTTAAAATTTCCCATTTTAGCAGACCTATCTAATCAATCAATAAATAAATAAATTTATTTAGAAAGGGATTTAAGTCTGTTATATACATACATAATAACCCTTTTCTATTCGTTTTTTCATGCCAAAAACAAATCGGAACAGTTATTGGAATTTTACAGGCAGATGTTATAAAATTTTATGTTAATTGCTGTGTGAAGTTAATTAAAAATTACAGGATTCATAAATAGAAAAATCTAATTATTTAAAAATTGTCGCGCTGTAATGGAATTTCCAGATTCTAATTGATCTGTTTTTTCAAATGGAAATTGCAAATTTCCCATTTTAAATGAGTACTAATCAAAGCAGGTAGGATGTGTCACGGAAAAAGACTAACTTATACGTAATTAAAAACTTGATAATAATTATCAATTTTTATTTTTAAAAGCTTTTTCCGAGTAGCAGTTTTCGAACCTGACGGTGTATCACTAGTGTTTATGTTTATTTCCTTCTTTTCTTCTTGGTTTAATTTGCTGGATGGATATTCAGAAGTCTTCACATATATGCATAATAACCGAACTTTATGTAAAATCGAAACTCAGTTAGTTATTTCGGTTTGCACATATTTTTAATGACTGGCTAATACTAATAACAGACGGTTTTCGCAATTTAATTCTAACCCTAAGAATCACATCACTATTTCTGTACTCAAAAATCTTCAAATGGTCGTATTAGAAAACCAGATGAACATAATTCTAATTGAGTAGTAACTTTCTTCCTAATTGGTGCGATATTATTTACATATACTTATAAAGGAAGGTTAATGCAGTCTCGACTGCCTAATAAACATTTAAATTAAAAGATTGCAAAATAAGTTGTTTAGCTTTCGTACTAAAAGTAAAATCATGTTCCTAAATGTTTATTATTACCTCTTTCGATTTTCTTTTAAATTTATCTGTAAATCGAGCACTACACATTATGAAAAACTACAATATTTGTACCAACTTAATTATACTGATAATTTTTATTGTACTACATCGAAAAACATTGATAGCAATTAAAAAACTAAAGAAAATGTTTCGGGCAGTATTATTTTACCGTCAGGGTAAAAATTAAAAAAGATTTCAATGCAAAACGTTATTAACAAATTAGTAAAACAAACAAATTAAAGCAGTATCAAGATTACTTATGCGAGAACAATACAGGAACGAGACACGACTCGAATTTTCATCATTTTTTCAAAATTATATAGAGAATATCGTATTTTCTAGTCTTAGGGCGACCTTTAATACTGATACCTCGTATTTATTTGTTTTTATGAGTAAGAAAGATTGAATGAAGAATTTGAGTGTGAAAACGTGTATTGTTATTCCAAAACCAAACCAATGTCGTATAACTTAGAAAGCTATCTTCACAATTTAAGGCGAAATGTCGGTTTGCTTTAGGAGTAATAATAAATGTTTCACCATAACTAGCTCAGAAGAATCTGAAATCATTGTTGAGCAAAGGAGAGGTAACGAAAGTATAAGAAAAAGTTTCCAAAATATCAATAGTTTATTTCTATATGACGGTATGACTGTTTGACTTCGGCACATACATTTGTAGAAACGACATGTACAAATTCGTAATTCTTCCATAAGTACAAGTGTTACAAATTATGACATTGCTGTTAATTCCACTGATATACCTATTTGAATATGATATTTGTATGTAATTCTATGATTGTTGGTTTTATTGTGGTGTTTAGTAGTATTAAAAGCTTATAAATAATAAGCCATTTGAGTCCCATCGTGACTGTTGGAAGAAAATTAGAGTTTGTCGACGATGCGACGCGACGGGAGGTTGCGGAAGTACAAAAATTTATAAACTGAAGAAATAAATAGTAAAAGTTGATAATTGATACAATTGTAATGTAAAAAGAACTAGAACCTATCGTGATATGCACTGTAAAAATATGTCATTTGATGTTATTAAGAAATCCAATTGTATATAAAAATTAATATGCTGGTGCTGTAACTTTAAAAAACAATATGACTGAATTGAATGCAGTATTGTAATTTTTATGTAAAAAATGTACATATTACAGTAAAATTAGTACCCAATATAATACTTTTCTAAAATAATTTCATTGAAAATACATGGTACAATTGTATACATATTACAAACATTTACTTATTATGTATTTCCTTTAAATAAAGGTCGCAAACATCAAAAATAACAATACCTACGTTTTAAATAATTAAAATGTACGAAGCCACATGCGGACAAATGAATAAGCCAACTTTTACAAGGCTTCGATTGTAGTATTTCGTTTAATAAAATTGATTAACATTCAATCACAGAGCGCGGGTTCGTTGTCATTAAACTAATGAAGCATTTTTGGCGCTATAACTTACGCGAATGAAAAATTATTTCTTTGCCTCTCCTGGGAGGATACGCCAATATTTAATTTTAAGAGAATACGTTCAACGGTAAAGGAAAATTTACAAAGAAATTTCTGTTTGTCGCTTGTGCCATCATTGAAATCTCTAAACGTTGCACCTAACTAGTGATGAAAACATTTATTTAACGGAGGTAAATTATATCGAATTTGCAATGCCTACATTTACAACGCATGTATAGCAATCTGTTACATTGAACATTGTTATTAAAGAGATAAATATCTGTTTAAATATTTGAATAACACATTAAGATTATTTATAAAAGTACGCTGTGTCGTTATTTTTCAAAAATATCTTTTTTCTTACATTACACTGAGTAGAATGTCGTATATTGAAACATTATTTGTTTAACTATTTTATACGTTCCTGGATCTTCATAAAATTTCGTTACACATACATTTAAATTTGTCAGTTTATCAGGGCTAAATTACGCAAAACGCTATTTCAAGGGAAATATTTCATGTAATAATTTTAAAATAATTGTGTAAAATGATCACCGCTTATGATATTGACAAGTGATATGTTTTCTTTACATTATAATCAAATATCCTAGTGCGGCTACCCAATACAAAAACAAAATTGATTTATACTTGTTTTAGAAAAATAATTTCCTATAAAAGGTTAAATACATATTTTTTTTCTGTGTTTGGAAGCCGTTGAGTTTAATAATATGATATTGAACTTTGGCTTTTATAACTCATTTTAAATTGTCAATGATGGGTTGATGTCAAATTATCGAACCTTTGGCGTATCGTCCTTCTCTAAGTTCAAGTTTNTTAATATTATTTTATTATTTAATTTACTCAATAAACAAACTGAAAAAGACTTACGTGCATTTTTTGTGAGAAAGGTGAACTGCATTGTGACTGACTCGGAAAAAAACACTAACCACGGTAAAAATAAAAACAATTAAGTAAATGACACTTCTGTAGCAGCGGCAAACGGCAACCCTCAGGTTTATATATTCATAAGTATACAGATATATAGATATGAGTGCTAACCGTTTCACAAATTTGTAATCAATATTGCCGGGACGTGTAATCAAGACGTTTTATAAAATCGCGCCCGACGTCGCGATGCCATTCTTGTCAAAGTGGGGACATTAAAACACGAACGTCATTATGCCGTCGTACCCCCTCTAGATGCTTCGGCACCAGAAGAAAAAACGGGGGGCTGCCGAGAAAAAGCTTTTTGTTTTTCTGCGAGCCATCAGTGCGTCTCAATAATTTTCTGTACTCGCATACAGTACAATTTATTTATTATACAATAATCAGTATTGGTCGAGGTCAACGTCTTGAAGGTGTTTATCATCGTTCATCGCAATGCCACTGCATATGTATAACATATCTATTATATACAGTCAACATTAACAAAGATTGTTGTGCACAAATTTTCCGATTGTTGTTTAATTGTCGGACCTTGCAGGCTGCTACCGATATCGATAACATCTTGCATGGAATGGGCATCTAATTAATGCATATTATGTTAATTTTACTTTTATTTATGTAAATACTCATGAAGAGTTGATGTAATATCCAAATACAAGCAGTGTATCGCCATCTAGTGGGTATTTGCTGCTACCGATGCATTTCAATTAGTTGCTGATCGAAATTGCGATCCACATTTCATTTCAATAAATCTTTGACTATCACGTTTCAAGTATATGTATACCATTGGAGAGCTGAGAATCGAACACGGGGATATTCTATTGCAAGAGCGGCATCATCTTTTGAAAATTTTTCTTTTACTAATTTTATTTTTGAGTTTAAGTTTGAGAATGTTGCGAATGTTTGAGATAATAATCATTCTTGACTGTATAGTGTTCTACCGCATGTCGTTATATACATTACTTATAAATATCTCGCAGATAATCAACGAATGCTTAATTGCTAGATATGCATTTTCTTTGAGAAATGTTAATAGAATTTTGTTTTTCATCGCACAGTTATTTCGGTGTGCAAGGCCATCACGTATGCAAAGTGGAAGTACGTAGAACAAAATGAAGGTACCACAGACCAACCAAGCCCGGTCTATTTGTTATATCACTGCATGCAGTTATATGCATAACTGTATAACTTGAAGAAATTGTTCACAGCTACTATTTTGATACATATTTGTTTATCTTTTGGTATAATAATTAGTAGATACGAGTAAATAAGTACCTAAAACGTAATATTATGCGAACATATTTTTATTATGAAGCAACCCGTTTACCTAATTAATAACAGTAACTAGTATTATTAATTATTCATTGAACGCGGTATCTTGCCCAAGTTTACTTGAAATTAGACAAATATTCCTAATCGATCGTAGTAATTAATTAAATTAGGAATTAAAAAAAAAGAAACGAAAAAAATTATTTGTTGCTTGTAAAAAAACTAAAATGACACATCATAGAATTTATTTGTTTATTTGAAGCGCACGTGAAGAACCCAAAAAACACATGTTGAGAAATTGTTTATAAATGTGTATGGGATGTAAATGTTTTTCAAATAAACAATTACGTTTGTTTGCCTATAAATTGCATTTTTACTTTTCCTCAATTGACTAAGCTTATTCAAAATTTGTGTTTTTTTTATGATAGAATAGGGAAACCACCCGTGGTGAAGCAATTGTACGTATGTATACTTTTAGTCGTTCCAAAACTATTTCAGTTTTCTGGAATTCAGGATCTCGATCTTTTTCGCACAAAGTTTTCACGAAAGTGCAGCTTTGTGTTCTTATGTAAGACGTTTCTGTCTGTTTCACGTGAATCGTGTGACCGATCGTTTCGGAAGCTTTTTTCTACAAATTACGCCAATATCAGTAGCTCCGAATTGATATAAAATATACACAACCCATGATTAAAAAGTGCCACTGGTAGGAGGAAAGAAAAGGAAAACTCGTTTGTAATATTTTAGATGGTTTAATACAAAACCTACAGTATGTTGTACAAAATATCTATATATAATTATGACTTTGGCACATTGACACTCTATTTTACTGCAAACGGTAGGAAAGTTCCACAAGCTATTAATTAAGTAAACATCTGAATGCAAAGCTGAATTAATTATAGGTACGCAACAAAAAAAATAACAAAAAAGAAGCAAATAACTACACATCACGTTATGTTCGCCATTTGTAGAAATTTTCTACCAATTTTGAGTCCGCAATGTCTGACAAGATCCTTTTTCGATTAAGAATATCGGCTTGTCAAAAGGTACCCACGACATAACAGAGTCTACGTAATGAGCACATACACCCAACGGAACGAAAGTTCTTGGTCACTGATCTATCGACAGATCAGTGACCAAGAATTTTGAAAAATTATTTTTAATTAGCGATTCTTTTTGTTTTGTAACACTATATAATAATGTGTTCCAAGTTTGTAATGAAAATTTATACAGCCGATGGTAGGAAATTTTGGAATTACCTAATGATTAAAAAGGAATCAAACTAACTAAACAATTTACTCCAGAAACTTTTCCTTTAACCGGAACTTTTAACTAAAAATCACCCATCTTTTGGGTCAATGTTCAAATGTCTTAGGGGCCCTGCTGATTATGATGAGATAAAGTTTGGTAATTGGCATATGCAAAGAGTTTAGAAGAGGGGGGTAGGTTTTCATTATTGGCATAGAATGTAAAGTGCAGTATGCACCAGCGAAAAATGGTATGGGCCAAGGACTTAAAGTTACGTTGAGATATGAGGGATCGCTATGATTGAAATGTTAATTTAGACGAGTTCAATTAGTCTATAATTAAAATTCCAAACCTTAAATATTAAAATTCAGTAAATCGTTTTACTCAGAAACAAACAAAAAAGGTATGCTGATAAGTATGATTAAGTAATCATAAATTTTATTATTAATATTAGATTTGCCATACACGCTTACGTAGAAAAATTAATAGCGGGTTTAACTCTAATAAACATTTTCTGTAGAATTCAATATTTTTTACGATGTTTGCTAATAAAATTAGTACGTTATTTGAATAAATAGACAATCAAGCTTTAAAGAAATATGTTTGACGCTCTAAAGATTTACACAAATCAATACGTCGGGTCTTTTGTATTTGCTATTGCAAATAACAACATAAATGCCGTATAATACAAAGTTTAAAAAAGGAACATCTGTACAGTTGTACCTACTGAGCAAAAGAATTTAATTGTATCTATTATTTGTTATTATGTTCAAATTTTCGGTTGGACTCTGATTAGCACTCCATCACTTTCCTATTTTCATGTTTTATCTCAAAATGATAAAAATAGAGGCAAGACATTCAAATATTAAGACTTATATTTGTAAATGTGCGATCGTAATTATAACAATTGTTAAATTAATTGGACGCAAACTTAGAAGCGTGATGAGTTAGACAGAAAACGAGCGATTTGAGCAACAGTCTTCAGACCACTTTAGAAAGGGTTCAATGGTCGAGTTTGATGGTCGTGGTCCGAGATAGTCTTACGATTAATGTAACCACAGCGAAGGATTTTGTTTTACTCCCTCTCGCCAAATCCCCATAGCAACCGGTGGAATGAGGGATATGCGAGTCCATCCAGTCCAGACTCATCATAGGAAGAGAATTAATTCACCCGAATATTGAATTCTCTTCAGATAACGGTGGCCATGAAAATCTTAGCCTTTTCTTTAGACCAGCTTACTCTGTTAACATTGCACTGGTACTTCCCGGGGTGAAAATTGGGCCAAAACAAAGGTATTGCACACAGTAAGAAAGAGATGAGGTAGGACGCCTTTTAGTAGTAAGAGACATAGAAGAATAAACAGGAGTTGACAGAACCAGACTGACCGAGCGGCATGGACTAGAGGTTTAGTGCCGGTGCACACTTGCGACAGTTTGCCGCCGCGGCACCGCAAAGTTTGCTGCACACTTGTTGGTATTTTTGCGGTTTTGTTGCGGCGCCGCAAAAGTAATAAAAATATATATCTAATACAGTGTCATTCGTTTTTAAAGAAAATCAGTCAGTGCGACAAGTTGAATAGTGCAAAATGGAAGTTTTTATTAATGAAAGGCGTGCAGTTTTTACGTATTTGGTGTACAAATGCGTNACAGTGTCATTCGTTTTTAAAGAAAATCAGTCAGTGCGACAAGTTGAATAGTGCAAAATGGAAGTTTTTATTAATGAAAGGCGTGCAGTTTTTACGTATTTGGTGTACAAATGCGTTATTGCTCGAAAAAAAAAAACGAGACGATTTTGGGTAGACCCATATACCGATTTACGGCTTACGAGGGGCACATTTGTAACATCGTTTTCGTATTTAAGGGAAAATCCTGACTAATTTTTCAACTACTTTCGAAGGAGTGTTGCTTCATCTGATGAATTAACAGCAAAAGTTTCTGATAGAATAAGATCGCAAAAGATACCAGATTAAGAGTCTACATAATCCCACTAGAAATGTTTTCCCCTTGTCATCCAGCTTGTCATCCAGCTCCAAAAATCCATGCAGACCTGTTTTTGACTCTCATGATATAGGTATATTTCTGAGGAAATATCCCATATCTCTGGGAACCAACCCCTTTACTGCATCAATGAATAATTCTATATCCAAATCTAGTAGCAGTCATCCTTTTTTGCGTCAATTTGCCGCAAGTGTGTACCAGCCGATGTACAAACGAGTACTACAAAACCGCAATAGCGGCAGCGGTGGCGCCACGGTCCGTAGGGACTTGCGGTTCAAAACGGTCGCCATTTGGACGCGCGGCACCGCGGCGGCGCGCAGATGAATGTGAATTAACCCATTTACCTGTTAGTACTTTAAGCCGCAATTGCGGCGCCGCAGCGGCGATGCCGCAAGTATGCACCGGCGCTTAGACCATTGCTTAGCATTCGGGAGGACGCCGGTTCAATTCCGGATCCGTCTGCCTTGATTCAAGTTTTTCTGTGGTTTCCTTGGATCACTTAGGCAAATGCTGAGGCAGTAATATTCCACAGATCTTTCATTCTTTTCTGTCTTCATTTCGTCCGTCTCAACTTTCTCACCCGAACCACCACCCACCCATTCCCACGATTCCTGAAAGCAGGCTGAAGAGGGCCTTCCGCCCTACCTTCCGGCGTAGTCCGGAGGGACTGCCCGCCCACCAGCATTACTGGCTGG